ATCTATTTCTCCCCAGTTCTTGCCCAGTAATCTTACTTCTCTTTTTTTGTTGTTGTTTTTTGGAGACAGAGTCTCACTCTGTCATCCAGGCTTTGCCTCCTAGGTTTAAGAGATTCTCATGCCTCAGCTTCTAGAGTAGCTGGGATTTCAGAGGTGCACCACTACCTTCAGCTAATTTTTGTATTTTTAGTAGAGATGGGTTTTCACTATGTTGGCCAGGGTGGCCTCAAACTCCTGGCCTCAAGAGATCCACCCACCTTGGTGGCCTACAGTGTTGGCATTACAGGTATGAGCCACCATGCCCAGCTCTGAGCTTACTCCTCTTAAAGATCTAGGAAGTGTTGTTGGTTTTTCAGTTTGTTCAGCTTTTTACCTGCTGTTAGAACAGAGTGGTGACTTTCAAACTGCATAATGTTGAATCTCTCACATTTTAATTTACTTCCTTTTACTATCTTTAAAAGTACAGAAGTGCATAGGAGTGCAGCATGCAGGAAGGGGAGGGCTTCAACACTTTGGCATAGCCAGCTAATTGACAGTTTGAATTAGAATCATGGTAGAATTACATCTGATGATGAGGATCATCATTATTATCATAAATCTAAAGAGGGGAGCAAGGATGACCAGGCGGCAGAGCAACAAAGCCTATGGCAGGGATAGGGGAATAGAGACTTTTTGACTTGAAAGTGTTCGTATTTAGACGTTTGACATTACTTTCAAAAAAGGTTTTATATATAAATTGTAGTCACAGAGATTCCCCCAACAGAACTGAAAGATCTCCTTCATATAACTTAATACTTTTATCCTGTTTCTAGGTCACATCCTTTGTAGTATACTATGAATTTAATCATTCCTATAAATCTTGTAATTATCTTGTGAATAACAGAATTATATTGCCCTGTTTTTTGTTTTTTTGTTGTTTGAAATGGAGTTTCACTCTGTTGCCCAGCCTGGAGTGCAGAGACATGATCTTGGCTCATTACAACCTCCACCTCCGGGATTCAAGCGATTCTTCTTCCTCAGCCTCCCAAGTAGCTGGGATTACAGGCGCCCACTACCACGCTTGGCTAATTTTTATATTTTTAGTAATGATGGGGTTTCACCGTGTTGGTTAGGCTGGTCTTGAACTCACGATCTCAAGTGATCCACCTGCCTCAGCTTCCCCAAAGCGCTGAGATTACAGGATGAGCCACAGAGCACAGCGGCTCTGCCCTGTGTTTTTAATGCCTCTCTCAAAGCCATTAATTACATTTAAGGTATACCATAATTGTTGTCAGTTCTGTTTTGC